AGAACCGAGATCGGCAACAGGTGACAAGGCGCTCATGTGACTCCACTACGCACCACATATATTGCAATCAATACTGTGGGCTCATCAGTAGACAACTGCCCTCATAAAGCCACTTTACATTTAATGCAATCACCCCTACCTCGTACACCGAGTCAAACAAAAGTTACTAGAAATAGTGTAATTTATTATTGTACGGGGATCTTTTTTGGGCATTCAATATGCTCATGCAAATTACCTCGGTTCACGTGAAAACCGACTTCTTATAACACCAAATAATCCTACATTAATACAAATTTCTCGCATTTTACATCTTAAATACGTGTTATCATCGTTGTTAAATATCGAATAACAACAGCCTGGCGCTAAAGGAGGCCCTCATAAGTTATTTGGGGTTAATCTTCGATTCCATATACCAATTTGGACAGCAAGAACAAACTTCAAGGGCTGGGCATAGTCGTGGCATTGCTCAGTCCGCTGAACGAACTACCATGCTACTGGCGATGTCGGACTTTGCAGCTCTGTTTCAGAACCTTGAGTTCGTGAAAGGTTTCTCTACCCTAATGGCCCAAACGATGCAGAGAACGTTTGTACCCGTTTCCCGCCAGTCTACTGTACCAATTACGCTGGCGAAGCCACGAACACCATCGGCCCAAGGACGTGTCGTGCGAGCAACTACGTCACATACGACTTCTCAGCCAAGCGATAATTCACCACAGAGAGAAGGAATCGCGGTTCACCTTAATGGAAATCCTTCCAACGCCGCTGATCAACTTGCAGAAAATTTTCAATGCATGACTGCTGAAAGTCATTCAGGCCATCACCAGCGATCCCCTGTGGTTACACGACCAACGTTGACGCAACCAGAAAGACAAACCGACTTGCATCAACAAATCGAGAGAAATCGTTCTGCCAGGCACGAGTCGGTAGAATAGAAAATTCTACGGAAGAAGATTGCTGAGTTGAATACTCGGCAGAAAGTACAAGAGGACTCTCCTCGATGAGCCTCAATGTCGGGTCATGTCTATCTGGAAGTCGATTCACCTTTGGCGCATGATGTTTTGTATGTTTTTATGGTTATTTTGTGTGTTCTTATGTGCTTTATTTGTGTTTGTTTTATTTTATTTTAGGTTTTTTCTGGTCCATTTAGTCGTATTTTCTCGTTTTTGTGTTCTCGTTTCGTTTTGGTGTTTTGTGCTATTTATATCTCTTTTTACCTTTTATTTTGTAGGGAAAGCGTGTTCCGAAAAGACGACAATAAATTTTCCGAAAAATGCCGAAAAGTCACCCGAGACAAGGAGAAAAAGACTTGAGGAATGTGGGTTGAAATTTCAAGTCAATTGGATAAGCGTGCAAGAAGTTAGAGCTAATCGAGCCTCAAAAGTCAAGCAGAGGCCTAATTCCGCGCACGCGAATCTATTTTCGCGAGATGTCCAGAACTCGCCAGTTACTCCAGCCTGCGAGTTTTCCATTCCGCGCCCGCGAAAAAGCACTACCTCTCCAGTGTAGCCTAGGCAGCGAAATTTGCCCGCAAAAATCGCCCTCCAGCTCGCGAGTTCCTCATTCCCAGCGAATTTTGCCCGCGAAAATCCCACCTTAGCTCACGAGTTCAGTCTACTTCGCGAGTTTCCCTCAGTAAATGTGTGTGTTTTTAGTGTGTGTTTGTGGTGTATCTATAAATAGACATGATGCTTTATAATTTGGAAACAATTCCTCATTTGCTAAAATTTTCCTTTTAGTTTTTCTCTCCTCCTTCTCTGTAGTTTTCTTTCTCTCTCTAAGGCCTCTAAGACCCTATTTTTATTGTAATATTTCTCCATCAAGATTACAACTTTTTGGCTTATTTCTTCTTGTGGATGCACTAGAGACTTGGAGACTTCGTTTAAGGTCCGATTGGAGACTTAGTTGAAGGTCTAGGATCTCGTAAGTCTTGCTTGTCTTTACTTATAGATTTTTCTAGGTTTAAGATAAGAGCTTCCATGAGTCGATTATGCTATTATCCTCGTAGGCTAGGATTATGTGATTGTGTTATTGATTGCGTTAGCTTAATTGCATGAGCGAGAATTGATTGAGAGATCGATTGGTTGATCGCGAGTGACGATTGCTTGATTACATGTTCCCGAATCTATGAGTGCCTTCTTTCCATTTTGGGTCTAGTGTACCTTGTTATTTTTCTCTCTATTTTCCTTTTCCGTGCAATTTGAGGACTTGCTTGCTTTAGAATTCAAATCTTGCTTTCATTTGTTCTTAGAATTGGGATCTTTAGCTTAATTCAACCACCAAAATGCGAGTAGAATGTTTAGGACCTTTTATTTTTCTTTGGTGTGAGTCAATCATTGCTTGAATCCGTGACCGAATAGCCTTCCTTTGAGAACGACCCGAGTCCGGTTAACTCGGTTACCACTTACCCAAAAATACTACAAACACCTGAACTTATGTCGGAGTCATTGTCAGGTAAAATTAAAGTTCCCCAAAGAGGCCTATACGACGGGACCTCGAATCCCGATGCCCACCTCGGTCAATATATGTTTATTCTGTTTTTGTGTCTCTTTTTATGTGTTTCTTGTGCATAATTGAGTCGATTTTAGGATTATTTTAGCGTTGACCGGTCCATTTTATCATTTTCCGTGTGTTTTTGTGTCTCTCTTTTATTTTGTGTTTTCGGCGTACTTTTTCGTATTTCGTGGTGTATTTTCAGGTTTATTCCCGAGGATAATGAGAAGAGTCGAACCGAGTCCCGAGAGACGAGATTTCCAAAGATACGAAAGTCTTCAAAGATAGCCAATTTCGAGAAGTCCCGAACCATTGAGCTAGTCCATTCCGAAGATTTCGAGCCAAAATTGATCGAAAGTCTTCAAAGATAGCCACACTCGCGCCCTCGAGCCAACACCCGCGCCTCGCGAAGCATCACTACCCCGCGCCACCACACTCGTGCTCTCGAGCCGATGCCCGCGCCTCGCGAAGCATCAGTGCCCCGCGCCTTCACCCGCGTCCGCGCGCGCGAGTTGAGCCGCGACATCGAGAGTACTACTCCACCTCCCATCCGCGCGCGCGAGCTGGCCCTCGAGTTCGAGAGTGTCGTCTTCTCTCGCGCCGATCCTGTGCATTCCTCGAGCCAGACAGTGCCATCTCACGTCCGCGACCCGCGGAAGTCCCGGCGAGCTCGGGAGTGTGTCATTTAATCTGCGTGTTTCTACTGTGTATTTTTGGAGCTGGACTATATATATATTTTGGCCCTTTGTATTTGGGACACTAGATTTCATTTGCAACTTTTACTCTTTTGGGTAATGTTTTTGTTTTTAGAATTCCCCCTAGATTCTCTCTAGTTTAGTATTTTCCGGTGAACTTTTTCCGGGAACTTTTTCCGGCGACTCTCGTTTTTATGCAAGTTTATATCTTTTTACTCCGATCTCGACTAAGCATGCACTAGGAATGTGAGTACTTACTTTTAAGACTTATACTTTCGAATTGTGCACTTATTTGCTATCTAGCTAGTAGAAGTGAGTAGGGCTTGCTCGTTTATTGGATTATGTTTGCTCGTTTAGTTATTTTCCGTGGTTTCGTTGTTTTTGAGCTTGTCAATTGTGCTTGAGTTTGTTGAAGTGTGAATTTCTACTTATCGTGACTTTGATATTGAGCTCGGTTATTTCGTCGTGGAATTTTCGGCTTTAACTATTAAGTGTAGTAGATGGAGTTCGTTTCTTTTGTTTTCGCTCTTTTTACTTGATTTTTGGTTGTCCGGTTTAGTAAGCTAGGGTTTCTAGTAAAATTGCTCGTTGCTTATTTCCTTAGTTAATCTAGTTTATAATCAACCTCAAATCATTGATTAGGATGTTTAGGATTTATTTGTTTCGTTTTGTGTTTTTGGACAATTGAATAGCAACCAAAGCTCTGAATAGCCTTCCTTAGAGAACGACCCGAGTCGGGTAACTAGGTTACCACATACCCACAAATCTCTACTAAACAAATGGCGCAGTTGTCGGGGAAGGTAAGTAAGACGCCTAATGTGTTATTTGGTTGTCCCTTTTTCATTTGTTTTTCTTGATTTTTGTGATCTTTTGCTTAATTTCTGTATTTCTCTTGATTTATTTTGCTTTATTAGTTAGATTGTGTTTGTTAATCTCGTTTTACCTTATTTTCTATTGGTGCGTTCACGGGTATAGTTTTTGGTTGTGTTTATGCGAGGTAGAAGGAATCGTCCACCCCGAGAGGAGTCGCCACCACTTAACCTCTACGTTGAGCTTAACATAGACGAACCACAACCGGAGCCCGAGCCGGAACCCGAACCAATGGCGGACCAACGAGACCCACAACAACCACCCCCGAACATGAGGTACTTTGCACGAACAATCATTGGAGACAACACTTCGTGCCTTGTGCTCGGTGAGGCAGCCCGGAATTATGACCTCAAAGCCATTCACCTCAACCAACTTCCCTCGTTTTATGGCCTTGCACAAGAGGATGCTCTTAACTTCATCCGGGATTTCTATTCCACCGTCAATACCTTTCCTCTACAAGGCTTAACCGAGAACCAACTTCGGATGAGGTGCTTTCCATATACCTTGAAGGACCGAGCCAAGACTTGGTTCATGACGTTGCTACCGAACTCACTCAACAATTGGGAGGCCGTCTACGAAAAAATTCATGGCAAGTACTATTCACATCAAAATACCACCGACCTCCGAGCACAAATGGCTAGCTTTAACCAAAACTCGGGAGAAACTTTTCATGAGGCGTGAGAGCATTTCAAGGGCTATCAACTCCAATGCCCTCATCATCACTTTTTCTTAGGAGTGTTGAATCAATTTTTCTATGACGGGCTTCACCAAACTCTTCAATACATGGTTGATCATGCGGCCGGTGGAGATATCGGGAGTCACACGGTCGAGGAGATTTATGAGTTGTACGAGATGTTGAGCGAAAATTCCCAAAGGAAGAGTGTCCAGAAGAGAGCTCCCGTGAATGAGGCGTCACAAGCTTCCGGTTCGTCGAATGATGCGGTTATGGCCAAGTTGGCCTCATTGGAGGAGGAGCTTAAAAACCTTCGCCTACGAGATGTGAAGTCGACCCAAGTCGTGATGGCGGAAGTTTGGGGATGTTGTGGTGAAACGGGCCATGGAGGCCACGAATGCCCGAGATACATGGAACCGGTTTATGACCCAAATCTTGAAGGGGTCCCTTATGATATCAATACGATCCAAGGGTATGCCTCTCGGGTCCAAAACGATCCCTACTCGAACACCTATAACCCGGGGTGGAGAAACCACCCGAATTTCTCGTGGAGGGACCCAAAGGCGAGCTACCCACAACAATTGGCACCACCTCAAGCCTATGCCCCACCTCAAGGATATGCACCTCCTCAAAACCGAACTTTCCAACCGAGACCCGAATACCAAGGCTATCAACCGAGGCCCGAGTTTCAAGGATACCCACAAGGGCGTGGAGGATTCATTCCAAGGCAACCAATGCCCCCTCCACCGAAACCCGAGAAGGAGACTAAGGTGAATTCCTCGGATGCTCGAATAGACAATATGGAGAAGTACCTTCAAAGCCTCGCATCAACAGTGTCCACCCTTCATGACACGGTCAAGGGCGTACCTTCAATCCAAGCATCTCTCAAGTGTCTTGAGACACAAATGGGGCAACTCGGGACGTCGATTAGTGAGATCCAAAGGAACAATAAGAAGGATCGACTCCCGAGCCAATCCGAGCAAGCTCAAGCTGTGACAGTTTTACGAAGTGGAAGAGTGGTGGATAACCGAGTTGAGATGCCTAGTGATGTTATGGTTGAAGATATTGATGGCAAGGAGGATGATGATGAGTTAGATGAGGTAGCGGATTTCGGAAAGAACAAAGATGTGATGATTGAGAAGCCGAGGGTGAAACCGATACTCGAAGATCTAGATACCATACACAAGTCGGCTACACCCTACCGTCCATCGGTACCTTACCCAAGTCGACTCCAAGATACAAAGAGGAACCGGCAATTCAAGGATCTCTACGACATGCTATCAAAGGTGAATGTCAACCTCCCTCTCTTAGATGTTATTCGAAATGTCCCGGCATATGTTCACTTTTTCAAAGACTTAGCTTCCAAGAAGAGGAGGTTTGGTGACAGTGAGAAGGTGATGATTTCCGAGGTGGCTTCTACCACTATCCCTCGGAAAGAGTGTGATCCCGGGGGTTTTTTGATCAAAATTACGTTGGGAAATGGCAAGGAGACAAATGGTATGCTTGACTTAGGAGCCGGGATCAACCTAATGCCTTACTCGATCTTTTAACAATTGGAGTTAGGTGATCTTAAGCCCACAAGGATGTGTTTGCAATTGTCAGACCGCACTTTACACTACCCGAAGGGTGTAATCGAGGATATTTTGATTCGGGTGGGTAATTTGATAGTCCCGGTGGACTTTGTTGTTCTTGATGTGGGGGAGGTCCCGAACACCGGCAATGAGCACACAATCTTACTTGGTCGACCGTTCATGGCCACTACCAATACACTCATCAATGTGAAAGACGGTCGAGTTACCTTGTCGGCTCTTGGTGAAACGGTTACATTTACTATGAATGATTCCAAGACGATACCGTTAGCCACCGAGAATTGCTCTTTTATTGATGTTGTCGAGAAGGAGGTTCATAACCTTTTTCATGCCGAGGTCTCGTGTGAGTGCAACATTCCCGATGATGAAGAGCCCAAAGAGCTAGATCCGGAAGAGGAAGGTGTGGTGGATCTCTTCGAACTATCCAAGGAATCCGAACCCCAGAAAATCTCTAATGAACTTAAGCCGCTACTATCACACCTCAAGTATGTCTTTCTTGAAGATAACGAGAAGAAGCCCGCCATTATCTTTTCGGGGCTTTCGAAAGAGGGGAAGGAACTACTCGTGGGAGTCCTCAAGGCTAACAAGGAATCTCTCAGGTGGAGTTTGAGTGATATCAAGGGTGTCCGGCCATGTGTATGCATCAAATCATTCTTGAGGACGAATCCAAACCTATCCAAGAGGGACAAAGGCGATTGAACCCAACCTTGATGGAGGTCGTAAAAGAGGAGATCCTCAAGTTGATACAAGAGGGGATTATATATGCCGTGGCGGTGAGTGAATGGGTGAGTCTCGTGCATGTGGTACCAAAGAGAGTGGGATCACGGTGGTTGAGAATAACAAGGGCGAGCTTGTACCTACAAGGGGTGGCGGATGTGTATCGATTTTCGAAAGCTCAATGCCGCCACAAGGAAGGACCACTTCCTTTGCCGTTTATCAATGAACTCCTTGACAAGCTAGCCGGTCATCCCTTCTATTGATTTCTTGATGGCTTGTCGGGGTACTATCAAATCCCGATCGCCCCGGAGGATAACCGAAGACCACCTTTACATGCCCCTTTGGCACATTTGCTTTCTGGAGGATTCCCTTTGGACTTTGCAATGCTCCCGCCACATTTCAAAGGTGCATGTTTTCTATCTTTTCGGATATGATTGGTGAATTTACTGAAATATTTATGGATGATTTCTCCATTTTTGGTGATTCTTTTGTTGATTGCCTTGGTAAACTTGATAAAGTGTTAAAACGATGCATTGAAAGCAGTTTGACTCTTAGTTGGGAGAAATCGCATTTTATGGTTCCTAGTGGTATTGTTCTTGGGCATGTCATATCTTCTAAGGGAATTGAGGTCGATAAGGCCAAGATTGATGTGATTGAGCAACTTCCTCCCCCTCTTAATGTGAAAGGTGTTCGAAGTTTTTTAGGGCATGCCGGTTTCTACCGGAGGTTTATAAAAGATTTTTCAAAAATTGCCTGACCTTTATGTGTTTTACTTGCTCTTGATGCTCCTTTTGATTTCAATGAAGAGTGTATGCATGCTTTTAATGAATTGAAGAGTAAATTGGTTTCGGCGCTAATAGTGATGCCCCCGAATTGGTCCTTACCGTTTGAAATCATGTGTGATGCCTCGAATTATGCGGTTGAGGCCGTTTTAGGTCAAAAGGTTGAGAAACGTCATCATGTTATTTGCTATGCTAGCATGACCTTAAATGAGGCTCAAGTTAATTACACCACAACCGAAAAGGAATTCTTAGCCATTATCTTTGCTCTTGAGAAATTTCGTGCTTACATTGTAGGATATAAGGTTGTGGTGTATAGTGATCATGCGGCTTTGAGGCATTTGTTAGCTAAGGCTCAATCGAAGCCTAGGTTGATTCGTTGGGTTTTACTTTTGCAAGAATTTGATGTGGAAATCTTAGATAGAAAAGGTTGTGAAAATGTAGTTGCCGATCATTTATCACGCCTTGCTTTACCTTCGAATCTTGTGATATGCTTGATCTTGATGATTCATTTCCCTATGAGCATGTATTTCTTGTTGATTGTGTGCCTTGGTATACCGATATTTCTAACTATTTGGCTAGTGGTATTTTAAATGACGACTTATCCTTCCAAGAAAGGAAGAGATTCATTGCTAAGTGTACGTACTTTATGTGGGAAGATCCCTATCTTTTCCATCTTGGGAAGGATGAGGTCATAAGGCGGTGTGTTCCCGAGAAGGAGCAACAAGCCACTCTAGTAGCGTGCCATTTATCGAATTGTGGAGGCCACTTTGGCGGTCGAAAGATGGGATTCAAGGTGTTACAAAGTGGATTCTATTGGCCCACGATTTTCAAGGACTCTCATGCTTTCTCTATTTCGTGTGATCGGTGTCAACATTCGGAAAATATTGGGCGAAGGAATGAGATGCCTCTCAATACGTTTTTGCCGGTTGAGATCTTTGACGTGTGGGGGATTGACTTCATGGGACCTTTCCCGATATCCCATGGGTCTGAGTACATTTTAGTTGGGGTGGAGTACGTCTCGAAGTGGGTAGAAGCTATTCCAACTAGGATTTGTGATGCTAAGGTCGTGGTGAAGTTCGTTCAAGATCACATCATCAACCGTTTCGATTTTCCACGGGCGATAATTAGTGATGGAGGCTCTCACTTTTGCAATCGGGTTTTCAAGAAGCTTATGGAGAAGAATGGAATAGCTCACAAGGTTGCCACCCCACATCACCCTCAAACTTCTGGGCAAGTCGAGACGAGTAACAAGCAAATTAAGGCCATCCTCGAGTGAACTGTGAGTGCTTCTAGGCGCGATTGGTCCCAAAAACTCGGAGATGCATTATGGGCACATCGCACAGCCTACAAGGGTGTCCTTGGTATGAGTCCATTTCGTTTGGTGTATGGGAAAGCGTGTCACCTTTCGGTGGAAATCGAGCATAGAGCTTATTGGGCTATCCGGATCCTTAATCTCGAGCTTGGTTTGGCCAGCAAGGAGAGACACTTGCAAATTGATGAATTAGACGAGTTGAGAAATGAGGCGTACGAGAATGCCCGGATTTACAAGGACAAAGTGAAGAAGTGGCATGATTCGAAGATTCTAAGGAAGGAGCTCTCACCCGGGATGAAAGTACTTCTCTTTAACTCGAGACTTAGATTATTTCCGGGTAAATTAAATTCAAGGTGGAGTGGTCCGTTTGAGATTGAGGAGGTATTTCCATCCAGAGTAGTTAAACTCTTTAACCCGACCGATAAAACCTCGTTTCAAGTGAACGGACACCGGGTGAAACCATATCTCGAGGGTGAAGCTAAAGAGATCCGCGTACTCTACTCTCGGCTCGACGAGCCAAATTATTGAGGAATGGACGGCTTTGTTGAGCTCACGACGTAAAATCGAGTGCTTTGTGGGAGGCAACCCACGTTTTTCTTTTCTTTTTTTTTCTTTCTTTTCGTTTTTTTTTTTTTTT